ATTATTGGCTTTTTTTCAGTTTTACACATTTTACAGAATTTTGCACATTGTTTTGAAATAGCACATTTAAAAACAACATCAATGTATGTACTGTTCATGAACGGCAGAGAAAATACAATTTTGATCGACTTTGATTAATTGTTTGAAATTCTGTGATTACTACACAGAAGTACTAAATAAAGATGTTTATGTTTAGTCCAGTTCTCTGTGTTAAATATCTAGGTGTTTTTATGTGAATGTGGGTCTTTTAGATTAATTTTAGTGATTTTGATCATGTTTCACATTTTATTGTCACATACTGGCGCTGGTCTTGGTCTTGACTTGGTCTCGATACACTCTGGTCTTGGTCTCGGGTTAGGTGGTCTTGACCACAACACTGACATATACTATAGCAGCCATTCAAAATAGCCCTTCCCAGTCAAATGCCAGCCAAATGGGAGTCTTCCTCCAACTTACAGTCACCGGCATTCCTCCTGGGCGTGCATTTTATTTTTCTGACTCCACGCTTTCACTTAATTACAGGGTCTTACCAGTAGATGGTGCTTCTCTTTAGATCTTAATGTCCACAAATCATAACAGAAATAATATTTTAGTGCAAAGATTGATGTTTAAAAAGGAATTGTAGGGGACCTGCCAAGGACCCATCAATTTTTAAAATTTCGAATACCTAATACTGTATAGATATGTTTCTTTCTTTACATTCAAACCACATAAAATAATTTATCAGCAATAGAGGGTAGATTGGATATCTCCTCTAAAGGAAAAAAAACTATCAGATTAAAAGATAAAGCAAAAAGTCTTTATTGAAAGTGTCTTTGTAGTAGTTCATCAGTTTTCAGGTTATTTCCTCAGATAAAACAAAATAAGCACCTGGAGTCAGAATATCAGGTTAAACAGACAGACAGGATGTAAATATGATTGGGTTCTAGGATTATTCAATAAATCAGGCACGAGTTAAAGAGGTGGAAAAAAACTAAAAAAAAAAAAAAAGCAAAGTACATTCATGTATAATCTCTTTAAGTAGAAATATTACCTATGAAAATAAATGCTCACAGAAAAAAAAAAGACTCAAGTGATTTTACCGATTAGAAAGTGGTCACACAAAACGTTTTAAATTATTATTACCAGGCTGACTTTAACATCAACAGCAGAGCTTCCCCCTTATTTCCCACTTTATACAAGGAGAACATATATTGCACAAACAAGAAAAAACTGTTTTAGTTGTATTTAGGAGAACACAGGAATCAAAAAACACGCTCCCATCGCGGTTACAGAGTGCAATGTTTACAATCTTTAAGGAACCGTCTGCATATCCGGCTGAATGGACACAGGGGGTTCCTCCAAAGCAGTCGGTCTGTGGATTTAAAACCTCAGTTAAAGGGAAAGCGAACCCTCTGGGGGATCCCTGCGGTGGTGTGGGAACCAGTCACCCTGCTGGCTGTTTCACTGGATGAACTGAGGTAGACTGAATTAGGAGACAACTAGCAGAAACGGTTGAACTCAACCGTACTGAACTGAATAAAACGGAACTAGTTTGATGCTGCTTGATAATAAAATAGACCAACTTCAGTCCATATGGAAAATAGGAGCTAATAACTACCTGAAATCTGATTCAATCTAAATCTCCATGCCCCTGTTCTCCCTTGTGCCATTACCATCAAAAGCTCCCATAATTCTCAAAACAAACCTCTGTGGACTCGTGCATTCTCATGCATTCATGCTTACAACAGACACAAGTTTTACAGTTTGACCTGATGTCTTTCTCAGGACCTTGATGCTGCATGATGAGGCTTTTTTTTCTTATTTGAACCGTTAAAAGAAATGTTGAGCCAGTCCGCTGCAGTGCATTAGTTTTAAAGCTAGAGGGCAGCACAGCAATTCTAACAAGGTTTTTAGTGGCTTGAGTTGTTAAAGAGTGAAAGAGCTGAAATGTTCTGACAATAAAAACAATAATAATAATAATAAAAACTGAACACAATGGTGCATCTCAAGAAGAATATCTAAAAGTTCAGTAATTTTGATTGTTACAGAGAGAAAAAGTGAAACTTAAAAGATGTAGGACACATGGCTCTTCACAGAAAGCTGTTTATGGAAGGTTAAGTGGAAGGAAAAACTCTGCTAGAAAAAGATGAAGTGGCAAGGATAGTCCCAAGTCTGAAAGTATCCCTCCATGCAGTGAACATAAAGAAAGAAAAGAGTCATTGACAATATGGGATTTTCTAGAAGAGAAGATTTTTAGGTTTAATTCAAGCTATAATTATCAAACCAATAGAAATAAATGCTTTACTAATATTATGAGTCATGAATCTAAACGAATATCACTTATCAAACAACTTAACTTTTCAATGCCTTAATCTTAATTAATTGAGATGCACCAGTTAGAAAACACGGTGGGTCTAAGTAATGAAAATCTATCGATGAAATGAAAGAATAAGAAACTCACGTAGAGAAACACAAACACACACAGTCCCGTGGGGTTAAAATCAAGTCTCAGGTTTCGGTGGACCCAGTCAGTTCCTCCCCAGCGACTGCAGGGAGCAGTTTCCCTCTGGGTTGATCTAGACGATGATGGCTTGTTCTTCTGAAAGCTCTGCAGATGTTTTCAGTGCAGTTTAATATGCAGGATAAGGCAACCGTTGAGCGCTTTAAGTTGGAGGGTGTTTGTGCCGTCCAGTCCTTTCTCCTTAAACTTTAGTGGGCTTTGCCGTTGCCGTTCATGTGGCAGACGTCGGATTTCGGTACCTCGGTGCTGTAGAGACAGTCCAAGAAACCCCGGGAGATCTCCGTCACCATGGATCTGTCCGGGATGGACTGGGCCATGCCGTAGATGGCTCCCTGAAAGAAACCAGAGTTCAGGCAAACCCAGAGAACTGCCGATCACTTCCATCAGAGGTGTATGTGTGCGAAGCAGACTCACCATTCCTGTGGTTTTCTCTTTGGGGTTCTTCATGATGATGGCAACCTGTTCTTTGACTTCACGAATAAACCGATCAGCCACCCCAGGCTGGGTGTGCAGCACCGTGCAACAAATGTGGATGCTGTGAAAGATGAGATTATGCTTCCTTAATACAGTGACTTAAGGCAGGTACTGATTCCGTAAAAGTTCAAAAAATATCCACTGGACTTGGTTTCCAAGATTTGAAGACGTTTCGCCACCTCT